CCCCCCCCCCCGAGATCTGCTTGAGCACGCTGACCGCCACCACTGTTTCGCGCGCACAACCCATTCCTCACCCGCATCGCCCGCACAACATGGCACCCTCGTTGAGCTCTCCGCCTGCGCCATTGTCGCCAACGCAGCAGCAGCAGCAGCAGCAGCAGGATGGTAAGCAGGAAGCCAATACGGACTGGCGCATCACAACCAAGATCGCCAAGGCAGAGAGGGAAGGAAGGATCTGGTGGAGCTTCGAGTACTTTCCGCCTCGCACCGCGCAAGGTCTCACCAACTTGTACGACCGCATCGAAAGGATGGCGGATCTGGGACCCGCATTCGTCGACATCACATGGAATGCCGGTGGCCGGACATCCGATTTGACGGCTCAGCTGGTCAAGACGGTGCACACCTACATGGGATTAGAGACGTGCATGCACTTGACCTGCACCAACATGCCCAGATCCAAAGTCGATGTTGCACTGCGAGAGGCGAAACAGTTTGGTTGCAGAAACATCCTCGCTCTCCGCGGAGATCCTCCCGCTGGAGGTGGAGCTTGGGAGAAGCACGAGGCCGGCTTCGAGTACGCCAAGGAGCTGGTGCAGTACATTCGACAGGCCTACGGCGACTACTTTGCCATCGCAGTCGCCGGCTTTCCCGAAGGTCATCCAGAGTCGCTCGAAGGTAAAAAGATGGAGTTGGAAAGGTTAAAGGATAAGATCGATGCTGGCGCAGACTTTATATTCACGCAAATGTTTTACGATTTCGACATTTTCGCCCAGTGGGTCAGGGACGTGCGCGCTGCTGGCATCACCTGTCCCATCGTGCCCGGCGTCATGCCCATTCAGACCTACGGCGGCTTCCAACGAGCTACGGCGAGGTTCAGAACCATCGTTCCTCAATACTTTCACGATGCCCTCGAGCCCGTCAAGGACGATGACGCCAAGGTGCGAGAAGTTGGCACGCAACTCGTCGGCGATCTGTGCAGGCGCATCATCGATCCCAAAGAAGGTTTGCGCATATCCGGCTTGCACATCTACACTATGAACCTCGAGCGAGGCTCGCGCATGCTTCTCGATTACCTCGCCTTGTCTCCCTCTCCTCAGCAAGTCAAGACGCTGCCATGGACACCCTCCTTGACGCCCAAGCGACGAGACGAGGGCATTCGGCCCATCTTTTGGGCCAACAGGGCCAAGTCGTACGTAGACAGGACAGAGACGTGGGACGAATTTCCAAACGGAAGGTGGGGAGATGCAAGGTCGCCCGCGTACGGCGACGTCGACGCTTACGGAGTCAAGCTGCGATACTCGGAAGCCGAAGCGAGGGAATTGTGGGGAGAGCCTACTTCGCTGGAACAGGTGAAGCAGCTCTTTACCGGCTTTTGCAAGGGCGACATCAAGGCGCTGCCTTGGAGCGAGACTGCCATTGCCAAGGAGACGACCGTCATCAATGACAAGCTCGTATCGATGAACCAAAAGGGCTTCTTTACCATCAACAGTCAGCCGTCCGTAGATGGTGCTCGCTCAGACGACCCCGTGCACGGCTGGGGACCCAAGAATGGATACGTGTACCAAAAGGTTCGTGAGGATCGTGGCTTCTTCTCGTCTGCGCCGCCATCTCATATCACTTTCTTGCCCACCCGCAGGCCTACTTGGAGTTCTTTGTCGCCCCTTCGCAAGTGGACGGGCTGATCTCGAAGCTGGAACAAGACCCTCAAATCACCTACCACGTCGTCAATGCTCGAGGCGACATGCGTACGAACACCACCTCGGAAGCTCCCTGTGCAGTCACTTGGGGTTGTTTCCCGCACAAGGAGATCATCCAACCGACCATCGTCGAGAGCATCTCCTTTTTGGCATGGAAGGACGAAGCGTATGAGATTGGCAGGCACTGGGCACGCGTCTACCCGCCCGGATCGCAAAGTCGACGATTGCTGGAGAGCATCTTTGGCAACGCGTCGGGAGACGTGACGCCCGGCACATCTCCCGATCTTCATGCCGACCAATCTTGGTTCTTGGTCAATGTTGTGCACAACGACTTTAAAAATAAAGAGGCCGTATTCGCTCCATTTTTGGATGCGGCCGACCTCAGCGCTGCTGCTGTCGCCGCCGCCGCTGCCGCTGCCACCACCACCGCGTCGCTGGAGAATGCAACCGAGACGGCTCGAAATGTCGCTAGTGGTGCTGAAAACGTCGCCAAGTCGCTAGCTGAAAAGGCCACAGCTCCGCTCGCCAATGGGCACGTGGCGTAAGCGCTCCCTCAGCACATCCTCGTCGTACTCTGCCCTCTTGCTTGCTCTTCTCGCTCATCCACAGCACCTCGCATCAACTGCATTGCATCAACTGCATCTTGCCATCCCAATCTGACTTCTCTTCTCTTCCAACTCACCCTCTCCCCCCGGCACGCGTGCGTGCACTTCGACGTCACACATCATTCAGTGCACTCGCTCAGGACATTCACCCATTTCACTGCGTCACTTCAACGTCACGGATCGAAGCCCACTCATCGTACCAACACTACTCACGCTCTCATACGCACGCACGAATGTAATCTTCAACCGATCCCTAAATCAAGGCCTTGTACGAAAACAAGGTTTGTCGACGTGATGCGGGGGGCGTGGGCTTGCGCAAAATGTCCCGCCGCTTGCTGCTACGCTCAGTGGTGAGCTGCAAGAGTCACGAACATAGTCGAGTGGGACGCGATCGAGTGGGACGCGAGTGGTGGGTCGTCTTGCCCCCCTTCGATCCACTTTGGGCAAGGCATCAGCTAGATACCTGGCCCGCTCATATTCGCCGCCTCATGCCTCTTGACATGATCGACCCGGCCAGGCCCCTCCTTTTTCCCTGGTGCTCAGCTGCAGATTGTGAACGCAATCGCAATCAGAAGCGTCAAAAGTGCTGACTGAGGAGATGGACCAGACCGTCGTGCTTGCATGGATTTGCATGCTTGGGGGGAAGCGATACGTGCCTTTCGTCAAGAGGGCTCGGATCGAGCGCGGGGCAATCGGTCAATGGAATCCTTCCTGTTCTTGTTCGTGTACGTACTCAAGAGGCACCACCATTCATGTCAATTCACATTGGCGCATCAGCCAGCAAAAAAGTCACGAGAGTTTGCGCGCGGCGATGATTGTCACCTTTGGGTTGGGCCTCGCATGCGTTTACAGTATTCAGTGCGACAAATGGCGTGACGCAATTAAAAAGCTCGTGATGGTGATGTTCGGCGATGGCGATGGCGATGGCGCGCTTGACCGTCCGCGTGTATTGAGTGCGCTCTTTGGCTCATTTGGATTGGACGCCTCTCACAAACGGCATTACAGCGTGAGAATATGTTTATCATGCAGTGAGAGGCGGTGCACCGGTACATGATGGATCGCCACTTGATGCGCAGCAGCAGCCAGACCAAGACTGCGCTCACGCGCGCGCCGACCTGTGCTGCGTGCTGAGCAATTCATTTGTTGGTGCATCAATGCGCGCGCATCCGCTCGCTTGGTGCAGGGCCCGCGGCGCAGCGCGGCGCGCCACCCGCGCCCAATCTGAAAGTTTGTTCTCGAGGATCCGACGCAGTGGTGCGTCATTCGGGACCTGCAGTCTTGAGTGTGCAGTCGTGAGTCGCGGACGGCCTCGAGTCCGGGCCCGCGCGAGAGCTCTTCGATGCAAAAATTTCAGGCAGAAGGCGAGTGAGTCATAGAAGCGCGCGCTTCAGTCTTGAGTGTCCCTGATCGCCGCAAACGGAGAAAAAAGAAAATGCATATATGCCATCAGTGCGGTACATACTGCGGTGCGCATGGTGAGGGAAGCGTGCGTGCAGCGGCTGAGTGTGAATGCGAATGTATTTCTGACTGGGCTGACGCCTGCATTCAAGCTACGACGCGCGCACGCCGGATAGCCGTGGCCAGCGGCGGGTCGGCTGAGAAGCAATGAAGCTGCCCCTTGCCCTTCTGCCGCCGCGCGAGGAGACGCGGATGCGAGCGAGCGAAAAGTTCGATCGATGCTGGAAGTGAGTGAGTGAGTGAGTGAGTGAGTGAGTGAGTACATGCCGATGAGTATACGCGGTATACACTCACACACACACACAGACTTACTACACGGTGGGCACATGCGCCTCATACCCCGGGCGCGTGGGCGACAGTCAGAGAGAGAGAGCATGCACGCACGCGCACACCTTCATGCTCGCGCGCGCATGCATCGGAATCGGACCGCCCGCCTGCCTGTGCTCCAGATGTACCGGCCGTGAAGTCGAAAGGGCGGGTGCAAATGAACCTCATCTGACAGTCGTGAGTCACCGCCACCTCTTTCACTCTAACCTCATCACCATCATACACACCATTGCGCTCATTTCGCGCACGCGCACGCGTACACGCACTCTACGAAGAAGCTCTCGTTCCTGCGCTCATCCGGCGATTTTCTTGCAGGCCCATCCCACAACAGCTCACAGCAGGGTTCCCGCGCCTTCAATCGTTGCCACTGCACTCGAGGTCCTCATCAACCTCTTTTGCGCACTGCACTCATCCGCTCGCAACGCGCCAGCACCACCGCACGAACCTCACTTCTTGCACTGCACCCCACGTCGTAGCCAACATGTCGTACGAAGGCAGCTCTTCGCTCTCTGTGCACCACGAGACGCCCAGTTTCATAGAGTTGGATCCCATCAATGCGCTTCACCGCGCCAAATTGGAAGCTGATCCGGATGCGGAAGAGAGCATCTGCACGGATGACGAGCTTTTGCAAATCGTTCGAGCTGCTAAGCGTGTTGGAAAGTGTGATGGACATGCCGTCTTGATGGGCACGACGTTGGAGGGTCAGTGGATCGACACGCGAGTACCTGCTCGTATCCCACACTCTTATCACTCTTCTGCAAAGTACGAGAGCGACGCTGAACGCTGTGAGTATCGCTCCGAAGCCTTTGGATCGCGCGAGAGAGGAGAGCATGTCTCAGGATGCGGGTGGGATGGCATTGCGATGGGACGGGATGCGTGAGGCCTCCTTTTAGCCGGCAGTGCTGACGCGACTCCCTCACCTCTCCTCTCCTCACAGCTTCTGCTCGCACTGCCGAGTACGATGCTTCTCCGACGGAGACCATGGGATCTTCTTACTCTACCGAGGCTACGAGTCAGGCTACCAACAGTCATCGCTCTGCCGCTAGCGGAACGCTTCACAAGGTGGCCGCTCTTCACCAGCAGCAGCGTTGCGATTCTTCTCAACAGTGAGGGTGATTCAACACCGTAGCATATAAGCAGGCGACCGACTCGAGCATTGCCTCTCGACTACGCCATCTTGAGCTGCGCGAGCGTCTTTGACTGCATCCGGCCGAGCACCCCTGCTTGGTGCGCTCCTGGGCTCCGCCAGCCTTTAGAATGGCACCGCACTCTACACCGACCAGACTTCAGTGAGCCCTTCAAGACATTTCCCCAGCATCTTGCCACAGTATCCCGAGCATCGCTTCACAACGCTTCGTAGCTTTGACCCTTTCCATGACGCACATCGACAAGAGATACCGCATCCGATACACCCGACGTGCGTCATGCACCCACGCATTCTCGCTCAGAGGCTACATTGAAGCGCGCTTTTTGAACATCAGCCTGAGCATTTTGATTGGCCTTTTGTCGATCTCGTTCCATCGAACGCTAGCTCATTCCCCCCCCCGCCTCGGCTGGGCTGCCATCCATCCTTTCTTGAAATTTGTTGTACGCCTCGATAATCGCATATCTCGCTCGCACTACTACTACGCTTACGCATCCTTGACATTGTGTGGCAAAGAGTCACGAGCAGGAGATTTGAATTTCAGCGGTTAGCGGGGGGCGTATGTATGTCTGTCTGCTTTGAGAGGAGGAGCTGCGGTGGAAATTGACCGGGCACGTCGAGCTAGCAGAGGGGAGGAGAGCAGGTCGATGCTGCATCCATTGCGCGAAAGGCTCCAATCAAGCTTCGAGGGTGCGCTCCCTGCCTCCCTGCCTCCCTGCCTGCCTGCCTGCCTGCCTCCCTGCCTCCCTGCCTACATGCCTGCCATTCGACTTTGCCGCGCCAACCTTGGCAGGTCATGTTCACGAGATTGTGTTGCGCGCGCGCCACAGTGTGAGCTTGGCGGGGTGGTGCAGCAGGGATGGAGCGTGTGATGAGGTGACACTCCATTTGCTTAGAAATTCACCATTGTGATTCACCATTCATTCAATTCCGACTCGTGACTTGTAGTCACCTATTAGGTGAGCATCGCTTGACTTGTATAGCGAGCGCCTGCGGAGCGCGTAGGTAGCGCTGTCGTGTAGTCGTGAGTTGTCATGTGTGCGTGCAGCGTGCATATACACATCAGACAGCGCTTTAGAGCGCGACGCGGGCGCATCTTGTACGCATGCCATGCCATGCCATGCCATGCCTGCCTGCATGCAAGTCACGAGTCGTGCTGAGTGCCCAATACAGCAGCAACGCGCATGCCTGTCTGCCTGCCTGCCTGCGCCTCCTGATGGTGGCTTGCACCATGCAAGCAGCCCCCCGGTCCCGCGATGTGTGCTCGACATTCACGACATTTCGGGATGTTGGCGTGGCTTGCGTGGCTTGCATCTCATCCACAGTCACCGCGAATGGGCCATGGGTCTGCACAATTTTGCCAGCATCATCACAATTCGACTCCCTCACTCGCTCCCTCGCGGTACTTTGAAGACAATCATCCCTTCTTCTTATCTTCGTATCCAGCGCTGCTTGCTGGGCTGCTTCATATA